GAGACAAGACAAGACAAGACAACCTCCACTGAGAGAAAAGACCCTGTAGATCCAATCCAATCCAATCTGTTCAAGCCCCTTCCCATTCCCCTGGAGTCTCCGACCAAGCACAAGCGAATCACGATGACTCAAGCCTCAATTACAAAAGACAGAGAAAAAGAAAAGTTTCTCAGAATGAGGCTTACCTTACCCTCCCACTCGGAACATACACTACTGTGTAGTATCTGCATTACGACAGTGGTGTTCTGATCCTGATCTGCAATAACGTTTGTAGTATCCGTAACTGCTGCAATGTAATACTGTACCTAGAAACGCAAAACTCCTCTGGCCCTCGTCCTTGTCCCGGCTTCCGCGGCCAAGCTTTCCCCAGGCTATTTTACGTGACAATCCCAAAGAGGAAATCCAAACAAGTACTGTACCTTACTCAAGAACTCAACAAACTGCAAGTGCCCTGGTCATCTCTTATTTCCAGCTTGGCTATCCTGCCCTGCCCTGCCCTGCCTTGGCCCGCAGCAGAGCCATGATGACGATTGATGCGGGGAGTCTCCATCGAGATAATTGACTTGTTGCCTCTATCGACTTATATGTTCAATTGTCTATCGAAAGGTTTCAGTCATAGAAGACAAAAGTAAAGAAAGAATGTTGGCCTAAACACGTTTGTGCTACCGTATTTTGGTTTTGCTTTTTCTTAACTTCTACAACTCTAGATATGGTATAGCCACACTGCAAAGTCGAGCCAATGTTGTCCAACAATGAAAGGAGATAAGGATATTTTAGATGGCTGTTGGTGATAACTTGGATCTCCTTGTCTTGGACTTGCAGTCATCTTCATATTCTGGATTTCTTAGACCGCCACTTATACCCTCTATGTTCATGTTCCTCATCCCTTACATATAACCTCATTGGACTTTCCATTGATGCAACTGCTTGCTTATATAGTCTCTTGACAACTGTACCAGCAGAGACAAAACATGTATCAACAACCAACAGGCTAATTATCTTTCTTCCATGTCTTACAAAACGTACAAAAACCAATCAGGCCTGAGTGATAACTCCGGAAACCCCAGCCTCATAGTCATCCATCTCCAACCTCTATACGGTCAACCTGTCATCCCACAACGTGCGGGCGTTGGCTTACTGCGATACGGTACGACGCCCTTGCCTATGTGTCGCTTCTGCATCTTGTTAGACGCCAGCGTCTCAATAGATGGTTCTTGTCTTGGGCGAGAAGAAACCGTTACCTCGTGGCGTACAAAAGAGCCAATACTCGGATCTGGCGAGTGCCCGAGGTAAGACAAGACTGTAGACCCTTTTGTCTTTTGTCAATGTCGAGGCCTAGTCGAGACTCGAGGACGGGGCGAATGCCTTATGAAGCAGGGGTCTATGGAAGAATAGAGTATGTCTAGTAGGTGGTAGTTACACAGCATGCAACCGTTGATAACCTCTGATAACACACTCGGTCAGTTCCCTGTCCTTGTCCAAGAACTCACGTATTCCAAGCCATTCCAGAGACTGACTACCCTTGAATTGGTTACTAAAGAGAATAAGTTTACATTTTTTCTTAACAGACGCATTATTATCTTCCGGTATGTTCCCGTACAGCAAAGTAACCTTTTTATTAGGTATGCAAGACTGCGGCTGCATCTCTACCGATTAGGACAACTTAGATACCACAACCAACCTTCAAGAGGCGAAAAAAAGTGAGAGATAATGTGGTTCTAACTACCAACCAACCACACGGAATTCCTGTTGCATATCTACAGCGACGTTCGGTTACAGTACGAGGATGCGACATCGGCTTCCTTTGTATCCGTATGTAAGATACCCAAGGTACCTATGTGATGATACTGCGGCTCCTAATCATGATCTGAGCAACTCCTCAGTAAGACAGATGCCAGGAAGATCATGCCGAACATTTAAAACTATCCTATTGCGGTCCACCTATGGCGAAACTTTGACAAGAGAAAACAACGCAACTATCATCCTTCTCTTACTCAATTGATTCGATTCTGCTGCAACGAGGCATTTCTCGAAATCATTCTGACATCACTCAAAAGCATGCTACTAATAACAATGGCTCTTTATCCTTGCTACAATTCGTTACTGTTTTTGTTGCCGGAGCTACCTCTCTTCGCCTTTCTACCTTGAGCCATTCAGACATTAACTAAATGTCTCTCGGGGTCCCCATACCGAGTCGATCCCTAATTCTAAGGCACAGTAGCGAGTAGATTCATCTCAACGGCCCGATCTAAGTTAAGTACTCGGGCCGCTTCTAGTTGGATCTGGCCAGCAGACAAATTGGGAAGTATGTGTGTTTGATCACTATTCAATCCCCTCCAATAATTGTTTTCTCATATAACTGTTGTAAGGGGATCTCCGTGGGGAATAAAATATCTCACTCATTGTCGTTCCGACTACTTTGTTCGGCAAATCGCAACACCAACACCAACATCACCAAAACCCATAGTACCGAGTTTATTTCCCTCCCACCCATGCAAGTCTGCAGAGCTACGCTTTCTCCCGAATGCAGACGCAAGCCACCTGGTACGATTTCTCCAACCTTCATATATCCATGCCCCATCAATCAGCATTTCGGACCTCTTGGTAATGACAGCCACACTCCATCAAGGGAGGTACAGTATATTTCTCATTCCAGCATCTCGCTGCTATACTTCATGTAGTAAAGCCAAAGAGAGGGGCTTATGCGTCTCTCATAACGGTTTCTCTTCCAAGCGTCCGTTGTCCACCTCCATCACAGTCAAAGAACCCTACGACCCCCACGTCAGGGCGCAATCTGAGATCTACAGTACAGACAGTGCCTTGTCTTAACTTACAGTACCGTAGTAGTGTATCATGTTTCCCAGCGCGCCGATCATGAACCGCTCGCTAGGTCCCGGCTACTCTTCCCGATAGTAACAGGGAACGAGGACTAAACATAGACAGTCTCATGTTGTGCAGATGCAAACGTCCTGGCACCCAGTACTGTATCATGTTTTCCAAGGTGATAGGTCATGAAAGTTATCACGCAAGGGCGCATACTCTGATCTACAGTATACATATGTGCATTATACTGTCCAGCAAATATCTCGTCTAGGAACGCCTCACAATTGTGTTCTTATCAGTGACCTTGATAGCCAAGAATCACGCCATCTCAGCTCAATAGGTAGGTAGCCACAAGATACTCCTCTGTTTGCACACGAGCTATTACTCCAGTAACAGAAGACGTGCGTATGCTGGAGAAGGAAATGGAAAAGACAGACAAAACACCATTATAACAGAAGAAAGAAAAAGAGAACTAACATTCCTTCGATAACCCAAGCCGTTTATCAATCCGTATTCTCCTTCCGACCCTTTGAATTTGCAAATCTCGAGTGCACTGAGCAGCATCGAGTACAAAAGTAATCTGCAAATAAAGCCAAACCTCAACCTGTATCAACGCCTTGCTCCGAGAAGATCTGTCCGTATATTCAATAACACAGCTTAATCAACTTTCGGCTTCTCAGCCCCCATGTTAGCCAGCCGATCAGCTGCGATGTTACCTGGATCGGTAGAATGTCCCTTAACCCACTGGAACTCGGTTGCTGCTCCAGCAGCTGCCCTTTCTCTCTTTTTGGCCACTAAAGGGCGTATGATGTCTTGATTCATGACGTCCTTCTTCGCGGCGTTCTTCCAGTTGTTTTTCTCCCAGTTTACAACCCAATCTGTTGCACAGGCAATCGAGTATTTGCTGTCGGTCAAGATCTTTATTCCTTGTGTCACAGGTACGAGCTCCATCGCCCGCAGCATCGCTAGTAGTTCAGCCCGTTGGTTCGTCTGAATTATGCCAGGGAGTCGCTCAGCGAGGTTACGCTCGTCGTCGGGTCCAAAATAGACACCAAGGCCGGCACGGGCGCCAGGCTTGCCGTTCCCCTGACTGCTGCCGTCGGTGTAGATTTTCATTAAGTGGTCGTCTGACTCGGTTGCAGATCGCGTCTGCTGAGGACGCGCAGTGGGTTCTGACTTGATCGGTGCTGCGACAGGTTCGATAGCGGCTCCTGTGTACTGCTTTTGCTGGTGCTGCATCGCTTGTTGTGCTGAACCGGATTCTCGCTTTGCAAACTGTTTCTCAAGATGCTTCATGTAGAACGGCCCAGCCTGTTCCAACGTATCAAAGCTCTCATACTTTGCCCCGGGGAAATCAACGATGGATGCCTGGGTCTCTGACCAATTCAAGATGCCCTCCTTACGACCCCTTGTCACAACGTGGTATTGACCGGTATTGCCTTCCATGAAGTCCTGAGCCTCATTTTCCATATACTCCTTGGTCTCATATCCCGTGTAGTCGTTGGCTCGGTATTCCCCGTAATCCTTAGGCCGATGTTCCATGTAGCCATTGGCCTCTTGTCGCCTATGAGCCTCGGGCCTACTGCTCTCACTACCCTGCTTCATAAAGTCCTTGGCATCTTGTTCATTTTTGAATGACTTGACTGCAGTGCATGTTAGTATTCCCTGGCCAAGCATGTGTCTGTTCCTGTTTCTACTCACAAATTGGTTTTGAATACCCGTCGGTCTGTGCTTTGCAATCGTCCCAGTTGTAGTAGATGCCAGGATTTCTCCCTCTCCTGACCGCGTAGTACTTTCCATTCGACTTTGCCATTTTGGATGATGACCCCTCTCCAAACCCACCGCTGGGTGCGTTTCGTTTTCTGGCCATATCGATAGTTTCGTCGTCCAGCCAGTCTTCGTCGTAATCGTGCGGATGAAAATCTTCGAATTGGTTACCACTCAGAAAGTTGAAAATCGAAAGGTCGACGGGCTTTCTTTCCTCGGCGCGCGGTAGCGAGGCGCTTATATGTCGACCGTGAAGGCTTAATGTATCAGTGGAGCTTGCAAGCCTGTGAGCCGTCGCCGAAAATGCAGTGGTGAAAGCAGCAGGGCAGCAACGAGCGATAGGAAGAGAGTGTAAATGGCAGCGAGCTAGTCAAGCACTGCGCATCGTGAAAGAGAAGGTAAATCAATAAAAAGAGTCGCCCTTCAATAGCAAAACTGGTGCTTGGTCGTCGAAGTTACTGAAAGCCCCACATCAACTGCGCAATACGCAATACAAACAGAGGGAAGGGTCCAAGTTGACTAGGGGATCCAAAACTTAGTAATATCGACTAGGCCACTAAAGAGGGCCCAAATCCATTAAGCAGGGTCAGGGTCAGGGTCTGTTTCATAGCAGCAAACAATCGATGTATCATTCATTCGATAGAAACTGGTGTCAACAAGAAGGAATCAATTGATACAATATTATGTTTTTTCAACGCAGATGGGATGATACAATGGGTACCACGTCCAATTCCGTCCAATGCTATCTCGTCCATTCCCAAGTACCTCTTACAAGACCGTGGCCAATGTCTGCGAATCGACTTCTCACCTGGGATATAAAGGACTATCTAAACCCTTTGATTGTTTTCCAGCCAACGAACCAGCTGCGAGTAAGTCCATAAAACGTACCGTGACAGGTAGTTGTCGATAAAAATGTCGCCGGCCTCAATTAATGCTGTGCTTAGCCAGTGTTGTGTAGCGCATAATACTTTGTCATTGCTCTGTGGGAGCTTCGTTGTCGCTGCAGCTTCGCGTGTATAGCAACGGAGACGATGAGTCTCACATCGACCTCGGGGGTGGTAATCCTAAACATGAGTGATGGGATCAAGAGGAGGCAAGTTGGGTACGCCGTCGCGTTCCCATTCCCAAGCCATCAAGCTCCAGTTGAGCTCTCGTCTCCAGAAGAGTCCCAATCCTCTTCCACCCCCATCCGGACGATCATCTGAGCTCAATCCTCCACTGCGAGGCATGTGCGTAGCAAAGACAGCCTTGCCCATTCGAGAATGGAGTATGCCCATAGAGCATGATACGCAGGGCTCGTGGGTAACATAAAGCTCAAGCCCATGGCAGAGATAGCCGTCCCTGTTCGGGTGCTCCTGTTCAAAGCATTTCTTCTCGATCTCAAGGAGTGGTTTATCCTGGAAGGCGTCATACTCGAGATTTGGTGGGTTGAAAGGACGCCCAGCAGCTCGCCTTTCGTGTCGAACGAGTTTCTGGGCCACCATGCTGATAGCACGGACAACGCAGTGTGTCATAGGGTTGCTGGTGCCCTCCAACAGGCCGCACTCCTGGTGCCAGCGAGCGTCTCCTGCAACCCCGACAAGTTCAACTTTTCCGCCATCTCTCTGGACGATTACAGCTCCGATGGCTTCGCCGATCCCGGTTTCTTTAGCTTGTAAAGCAACACGATGGGCTAGTGCCATCCAGACGGAGCTGTCGTCCTTGATATCTTCAGTTCCCCGGGCTACTATACTAGGGTGCGGTCCCAAGGGGTTGTTCTTCCGATATACAGTGGGCCAAAACTGAGAAGACCACATAGCCGCTTGTACTTGGGATGTTGGCGCAAGCAGAGGAATGGGGATCTTTTCGATAAAGAGTTCATTCTCGTCGCACTCAATGATAGACAGAACCTCGGTAAGCTCCTCAAGTGTGAAGTCTTTGACTTCTCCGATGATGATGTAAATCCAAGTGGATTTTGCCGTATGGATTTGACGGCCCACAGCGCTATCGTTCATGAACTGAGTCTTGAGGTGGGCAGGCAGATCACCAGGCTTAGAACACCGTCGCAGATGAGGTAGGGGATTAGCGCTATTATCATCTGGTCGCATGTTACGCAAGGCCCTGTGCAGTTGTCAGTAAACAGCAATGCTTTATCGGATACAGTTATATTTTGGAGGTAGCGTACGTGATGACATCGTTAGCCTGCTTGGTAGGTGCCCGTGTGATGTATGCATGAGTGATCGTGTGGTCTTGCCGGACCTCTTGCGTTGTCTTGAGTGGTATCAGGACACCGCGCCGAATATGCTTCTCCTTGAAATCGTCGATCAAGGGGTTCGACACGATCTCAGAAGGACCTCGGTGCTCAGGCTTGGCTGGCAAAGCCGCCTCGACCGGATCAGGGGTGAGGGAAACCTCGGGAGGCAGTTCGTTAGACATTCCGTCTGGAGTATAGGCGATGATTAGCCTCAGGTGCGACCTACAGATGAAAGTCAGCCAGGGATGATAGCGTATCCTGAACTTCAGTAGGGCGTACTGAGTGCAATGTGTGTGCCTTCACGAGGATGAGAAGTAGCGCGCCAAGCTGATTTGATGCGGTGTCGTGGTAGAGGATAGCTGAATTTCCAAGATGAGTTGCCTTGTTGAGAAGAGAAAGTTGAGGACGGTGTGTTTGGATATGATGAAAACAAGACGACCGTTGCTATGGGAAGACTTAGGTAGGTTGAGAGGGGAAGAAGCTGGAAGGTGCAGACTTGGGATGAATTTAGGCAAGAGCAGACCACGCTTCGGCTTGCTTTCAGTTCCTCTTTCTACCTTTGATGTCTCTGTTAACAACCGTTTTTCGATCATGGTGCTGGACTTTTTTTGAGGAATGCGCTTACTCTTTTTCTTAGGCTCCTTGGGAAAGAAGGCTTCAAGGATAAAAGATAAAAAGGATCAATCAGGCACGGAAGGGAGTAAGAACAAAGAATTCGGCAATCGTAAAGAGTCTTAATAAATCCCTTTGTGGGGCTTTCGTGCTTTGAGGTGAATGATGCTGCAGTTTACTCCAACAGTGCCAACCTCTGGCAAGAAGCTGTCAGTGGAAAACCTCTGCGATAGCGCCTAACAGCAGGCGGTTTCTTCGATATTCTTTCTAATTTTCCGATCTCGTCCAGTGAGCCGGTGCTGCCTTAACCTCAAGCTGTGAATGAATGAGCTTTTTGCTTCTAATTTCCAGATTGTTCAACTCTTCACTGCGTTGGCAGGATCTTCAAAAGGCCTGCTACAAACAGAGCCTTTTTGCGATCGCGAGCAGTTTTGATAGAGCTTTGACAGCTAAAAGTTGGTTGAAATTACAGGACACATCAACATCGAGTTTTCTGCACTCGAACGTATTGCCCACTTGGACTTTGTCTTTTCAAAATCTTGTATTCCCTTCAAGTGGTTAGCAATGAAGTTGGCGATAAGTTCTGCCAGTAGTGGATCAACCTGTGGCGGGGACCTGCATGTGTGGCTATGCACTACTGAGCCACTAGACCTATAACTTAGATACCCTATATGTGTAGGTCTCGAGTTTCACCGCCATGGTGCAAGACACAATGAAATCGCGACAACGAATATTGGGCATGAATGAATATCCAGTGACTTGCCTTTTGATATTAGGCACTGAATTCAAGGGTTTCATCGACCAAGACGTTCAGAAATAACGGTGATCATCCCACAAGGGTTGCATGTTGAGTATGAAATGACAAGATAGTCATGAGCTTCGACATTCGACATTTCTGTAAGCTGTCAGCAATCATGGATATCAGATACAATCTCAAAACCAAGCTCCAACCATGTGGTGACAGACAAACACGTCACTTTCGGATCCCTTTATTTTACGCTCAAATGTTGTGCCATCACCAAGCAACTTGACAGGTCTGGATGAAATCCTAGCCTGACATTCAAGTTGAATGTCAACTATTGTGTGGTAATATCGACCATTGTTTGGCATGTGAAGGGCTGCCAGCCGTCTCTACAGACCGGATTGGTAGGAATTGAAGGTAACAAAAAGACTATAGCAGCCGGTTGCTTGCATAGCCTTGGTATGGAGGCGGTGCCTGGATTGCTCACAACGCATGGTGTACAGATCACCGCTTCGTTGTGAGTGCCTACAGCGCAACATGCTGTACAGATAGCAGAATAAGTAATTTGGGGGCAGCTGAAGAGATCAACTTGGCAACCTAGGCACTTAGTCGATATCACCTGAAAAAAAAATAAAAAAATAAGCATACTCTTCATTCGTTGCACCATGTTCTTTTGATAATGCTGAGGAGGCCTCAAAAAGTAGCAAAGATACATGATTGTATCGTGAGCATACCGTGGTCGCAAGAAGCAAGACATGGTTTCAAAAGCCGGAGAATATTGTCATTGTTGGGGTCAAGCATAAAGAGCTTACATGTTTGCTATGGGGTATCGTGCAATGGTGTCCATGCATTGCTGACCATAGCTCACCGAGAAATGGGATATGAAAGCCACGCTTATGGGCTCACTATGGCTGACGGTAGACAGACAACTCAACTCAACAGGAGAAACATTAACAAACATCTATGGCCTATCGGGACCATCCCCGCTTGACCTGTGCTGTGCCCTCTTTCTTAGACAATCGATAAAGCTGGGGACAGAAGGTCTCATTGCTTCAGCTGTCATGGTCCAGGGCCGTGGTTTGAGGGAGATGAATCAATCAATCAATACAACCAAGCAGAGGCAGCCAGCAGAGCCACAATCGTGTAATGACCGTATGATTGATAAGAGTCACGTATGGATTCGTGTCAAACCAGGAGCGGACATGTACCTGGAAATTATTTATTTTCTATGATGAACAAGGCCTGCTCGGATGTTAATTCAAGGCCAGACAGCGCACGGGAACCCCAGGGACGAATTCAAGGCGCTTGAGTGCCCACGGGGTAGGCCTGATTCGCGCTGGATTGAAAAGGGATGGCATTGAATGCGAGATGACTGTCGCATTATCTGGTCTCACGGACGACGCGACGAGACGAGGACACGAGCAAGGAGGTAAAACTGTAACGATAACTGTAAGGGTAAGTGTAAACGCAGCGCAAAAAGTAAAGTCCAATACATAGTAAGGGTGACAGTGACCTT